GATTGAGGATGAGGAGGATGAGGATGAGGATGAGGATGAGGATGAGGATGAGGATGAGGATGAGGATGAGGATGAGGATGAGGATGAGGATGAGGATGAGGATGAGGATGAGGATGAGATGAGATGAGGATGAGGTGGATGAGGACGAGGAGGGAGGAGGAGGAGGAGGTGAGGATGAGGAGGATGAGGATGATGAGGAGGAGAAGGAGGAGGAGGAGGAGCAGGGATGAGGAGGAGGAGGAGGAGGAGGAGAGGAGGAGGAGGAGGAGGAGGAGTGGGAGGAGGAGGAGGAGGGGGTGGAGGAGGAGGAGGAGGAGGAGGAGGAGGGGAGGAGGAGGGAGGAGGAGGAGGAGTGGGAGGAGAAGGAGGAAGAAAGGAGGAGGAGGAGGAGAACGAGGAGGAGGAGGGGGAGGAAGAAGAAGAGGAGGCGGAGGGGAGGAGGAGGAGAGGAGGAGGTAGAAGAAGTGATGATGATGGATGATGATGATGATGATGATGGATGATGATGATGATGATGATGATGATGATGATGATGATGATGATGATGATGATGATGATGATGATGATGATGATGATGATGATGATGATGATGATGATGATGATGATGATGATGATGATGATGATGATGATGATATCACCGCCCTCAACGGAGATTCCAGTGGGTAGCCCCCCGAGGTTTAGCGTCGCAGTTTCCCGTTTTCTCGGGGAGTGCACTAAGTCTTCGCAGGATCTCTCGTCGCCGTTTTTCTCCGGGGTTCCTCGGCGTTCCTTGGGACGCGCGATGCGGACCGCGGCGTGCTCGCGGACCTCCTTGGGGCGCGTGGCCTCATGGGGGGCGCCACCGAAGGCCCCAGTGTCAGGGTTCAGATTTGTCCCCTGGTAAATTTGGGCACGCGCACACACACACATCAATCGGTTCGTGGCTTCATAGGGAGCTCTACCGAAAGCCTCAATAGCAGGGCTCACATGCGTCCCAAGTCCATTTGTGGCACACTCATCACACGGCGCGTGGCTTCATAGGGAGATCCAGAGAGTTTCGCCGAAGGCCCTTGTGGCAGGGTTCGCATGCGTCCCAGTCAGTGTTTTGGCGCGTCGTCGTCGCGGTTTTGTTCGAATAGGTTCACTGAACATTCGCGTTATGCTCGCCGTTTTTTGGTTGGGGTGGGTTTGTGTGGGGCGAGTCACGTCGCCGTTTCTCGGTGACACTCGGTAAGTGTGCAGGAATTAAATGTTCTTCGCTGGTCTCTCTGATTGGATGGGTTAGAAAAGAATAAAGAGGAGTGATATGATGATGATGATGATGATGATGATGATGATGATGATGATCCTGGTGATGGTGATGATGCTGATGCTGATGCTGATGATGATGATGATGATGATGATGATGATGATGCTGCTGATGATGATGATGCTGATGATGATGACGATGATGATAATGATGATGATGCAGATGATCATGACGATGCTGATGATGCTGATGATGCTGATGATGATGATGCTGATGATGATGACGATGATGATGATGATGGTGGTGGTGGTGGCGGCGGTGGTGGTGGTGGTCGTGGTGGTGGTGATGATGATGATGATGCAGATGCTGATGCTGATGCTGATGATGATGATGATGATGGGGATGAGGATCATATTGATCATGATGCTGCTGATGATGTTGATGATGATAATGAGTATGATGAGTATGATGCAGATGGTGACGATGCTGATGATGATGATGATGCTGATGATGATGATGATGATGATGATGATGATGATGATGATGATGATGATGAGAAGGAGGAGAGAAGAATAGTAGTAATAATAATCAGAAGGAGGAGGAGGCCCGCCCACAGCTCGAATCAGGACCTGGTGCGTCCACTGCGAACCCTCCCGCTTCCGTGCCTGGCCTGCGGAGAGGCGCGCTGAGCCCCCCCGCTTATACGGCATTTGCACGCTGGATAAGCTCGCGCCAACCCCGAGCAAGGGTGGGAACAGCGGGATGACCATGGGCAGGAGCAGGAGGGGGAGAAGGACATGGGGCCAGTACAAACCCAAGGCGCATCAGCGATGTTGCAATAAGCCTTCCCTCCAATTCCCTTCTTCACATGTCTCTGCAAGAACGTGTTTTCATTGCAGGGTTTGGGCCATTGAAGGAGAATCGCCCGAATAATTCAGATAAGGAAGAACTTCATCCCCCTGGACTCCACAAAGGGGAGATGTTTCGCCAGGACACAATAATAAAACAACAGTTTTGCACTAGTTGTATATTTGGCTGGGCTCGAGGACCCCCGATTCCTGAATTTATTTGAGAAGATTCGATCGTGCTAATGCTAAATCACGATTCCTGGGCCCTGAACGCCGCGAATCAACGTGACAGTTGCGCCTAGACAATCCGATATCGTGCCAGAACACCGTTCCTGGGACTTCAACCTCACGGACCCTGGAAGCGGCTGCAAGCGTTTAAGACGAGCTTGCGCGGCGCAACGGCGAGGAACCACAGTTTGAAAAATAACCGGCCTCGATAATGGAGTTATCAAACATGTTCAAAAAGGAGCGTATCGCGAATGTGAGAGCTCCTTCCAAAGAAACGGCCTGCTCTCCATCTTTGGAGCTCTTACGAATTTCAAGCTTCAGGATCATGAGTGGTGGGGTGGTCTCAGGCGAAACGCCTGGCCCGACCTGCGGCACGTCTGGGGCTGCAGCAAAACAGGGGTTGCGTACAAGGAAGAGGGAGTGAGGAGGATACAATACTCTATGTGAGGCCGATGCGTCGTATAGCCCGACCCAGATGGCGACCGAGTTGTTCAACGTGGTGAACAGCAGCATGCCTGCTGCTGGTGAGATGACGCCCGAGGAGCTCTCCAGCACGGTGTCCATCATCGACATCGTGCTCAGCACCGCGATGAGCGGCCAGGTCGAGGCTGCGAAGGCGACGACGCTGATCGACGCCAGCGTCGCGCTGCAGGCCAGCAGCCTCATCTCCGCCGTTGCCATCGCGGCTTTGTCGCTCGAGGGCGGCATCTCCCTCGGGGATGCATCGGCTCTGGTGGGCTCCGTCGCCAACCTGCTCGCGAACGGCACTTCGGACCCTACTGCGGACAGTTCGGGCCAGGACGCGGACGCGGCGCTGCAGCAGGAGCTCATGGAATCTCTGGTAGAGTCTATCGACCGGATCGGCGACGCTGTGACAGATACCATGCAGGTGGGTGAAGAGCCTGTCACCATCAGCTTTGGTGGAATAACACTGACGTCAGCGAAAGCAACCGCCGATGCCATGGCGGACGGACTCACCGTAGGCGGGTTCGATTTCCCTAGCGGCTTCGACCTGTCGGAAGAGGCTCGTAGGCTCTCTGCGAGCTGCAACACGGATGTGTTCGGCCTCCAGCACACCAGGTGGCTTAGGAACCCGTTTGCCTGGGCGGGGACTCATGTCTACGGCAACATGACCACTAGCGAACAGAACGACGTGGCGACGGTTGCAGGCGACGCGGATCCCGCGGGCATCTATGACGAAACGTGGAGGGTCGAGTCGGACGCTGTGCAGTCGATGAATATCCGTGCCTGTGGGGTGACGCAGGAGGTTGACGGTCTGGTCGAACCCATCCGGTTCTTTCTCAGCGCCCCGCTCGAGTTCAACGCAACGGATGAGCGGCGCGGGGTCCGGAGGTGCATGTATTTCGATATGACTGCGAGCCCGGCTAGGTGGTCCAGCGAGGGCGTCCGGGTAGTGAACGAGAGTGACGACGGCATTTGGTGCGAGACGACACACTTATCCTCCTTTACGGCGGTGCACGGTTCGTTCAGCTTCAGCATATTCGTCGACATCCTCTGTCCGAATACGAACGTCATCTCCGCGGAGGGCTTCGGCAATGTCTTGAAGGGCACTTGGTGGTTCGAACCCGCCGCTATCATGCTCTGGATCTTGATTATCCTGCACGCGACTCTGGTCGTCAAGGCCGTCCGAGCTCACAGTAAGAATGAGAAGATTGCGACGTTGAACAACCAGCTGAGCGACGATTTCGATAGCCACATGGGCCACATCCTAAAGACTGTAAAGGGTTGCATAACGTGCAGATGCGAGCATCTCTTCTTGCCAGAGACCTGGGCAATCTTCCTGGCAAAAGTCCTAAAAGAGTACATCGACCCCGAGGACTTCGAAGATGAAGAGTTCCTGGGTGTTACCCGAAGGCTGGCCGCCTCCAAGCTGTGGACCATGCGGAGCACTGGCCAGCGGCGGTACGTTGAAAAGTCCAGCAGCGGCCACAACAGACCGAACGAGTGGCGGACGGCGGAGGCCACGCTCGCTCGCAAGTGGGGCCTCACCGACGAGCAGGGCGTGAGAAGGTATACGCAGTTCGAGATGTACTTTTGGGTGACTCATCCTGTCTTGAAGCTCGCGCTGCCGAGCAAAAGGAACCCGATGCGGAAGAGGATGTCCAAGCTTCTCGTCACCGTCTTCGGCTCCCTGGCGGCCTCTGCGCTCTTCTACGCCTCCGGCGCCACCCCCCACGACTCCAACCCCTACTGCCGGGCTGGGCTCCCCTGGGCGTCGTGGCGCCATCTGGTGAGAGCGGCGCTCGTGGCGTTTGCGAGCACCTGGCTCGTCGCAGGGCTGGCCCGCGTGCTTATGGCAATGTCGAAGAGCAGCGGTCGAGTCACGCGTTCTCTCGGGGCTACCCTCGTGAGCGTGTACATGTTAGTGAGTATAGGTTACTGCATCCTGTTTACAGCGAACGTGTCGATCGAAGACAGCTGTGCTTGGCTTGTCAGCGCCATGTTCAGATACACACCGCTACGCGGGAACAAGGCTGGACAGTCAACCGATACACAGGAGTTTCCCTTAAATCGGATCGGATTTCGGGTCGTCCGGTCGTTCTGGTCTGCCCGATTGGTGTTTTCCTTGTGTGATCTGTCTTTCTGTCTGTTTGGTATCTTCGGTCTGGTTTAGCTGTCTGCCTGGTCTGTCTTATTTGCCTCATCTGCTGTTTGTCTTGTCTCTAGTGCCCGCCTCGTCTGTCCGTCAGGCGAGTGTGGTCTACCTGACTTGATTGTCTGGTCCCGTCAGGGATGCCATGGCAGGCTTGGGCGAGTTGGATTCCGCCTTGTTGCACCCTGCATCTGGCAGTCTGCTCCTGCTGCTGCAGATTGGCTGCGGATTCCAGGGCGCCCGCCATCTCCAGACTTCCTCCTCCTCCTCCTTTTCCTCCTCCTCCTCCTACTCCTCCCCCTCCTCCCTCTCCTCCTCCTTCTCCTCTCCCCATCCTCCTCCTCCTCCTCCTCCTCCTCCATTCTTTTTCCTCATGAATAACTTCTCCCTGTCGCACCCCGAGGCCAGTTTTCAGGGCGGGCCGGGCGTTTCGCCAGAGACCCTCACCGTTTATGATTCTGAAGCATAAAACAGTGGCAGCAGTTTCACAGATGGAGTGCGGGTGGTTTTCAAAATGTGGCTCTCGCCTTAGCGCGGCGCACATTCGTTTGAAATATCTGCAAGAGTTTCGCTGATTGAGGGCGCGCCGTTTTCAAAATGTGGGTCCCGCCCTAGCGCGGCGCACATTCGTTTAAACAATGTGCAACAGTTTCACGTCTTGAGGGCAGGTGATTTTTTTTATGTGGCTCTCGCATTAGCGCGACGCACATTCGTTTGTTCAATGCCAGAATTTCACGTCTTGAGGGCGAGTGGTTTTCAAGATGTGGCTCTCGCCTCAGCGCGGCGAACATTCGTTCTAAACATTTGCAAGAGTTTCACGTCTTGAGCGCGAGTGGTTTTCAACATGTGGTTCTCGCCTTAGCGCGGCGCACATTCTTTCTCAAAAATTCCAAGGGTTGCATGGATCCCCATCATCAGCGTACCAGACATGGTGTTTGGGACGGACTCAGGATTATGCGGGTGCAACAGTTACGTTGGTGCTCTGTGTTGAAGTCCTAGGAATGGCATTCTGGCACGATTCATGATCGTCAAGGCGCAACCGTCAGGTTGATCCGTGGCGTTGGAATCCCGAGAACATTGTTTCGGCATGCTTCAGGGTCTTCAAACGGGTGTCTTCCAACGAGGCAGTTCCATCAATGGAAATGAACCGTTGTAGGTGCCTATGAAGAGGGAGCTTGGAGGGAGGGTTTACTCCAACATCGTTGATGACTCTTGGGTTTACACTGGTCCTCCTCCTCCTTCTCCTCCTGCCCCTCCTCCTCTTCCTCATCCTCCTCCTTCTCCTCCTCCTCCTCCTTCGTATTTTGATATTGTCCGTCCGGCGGGAGGAAAATGGGGCCAGGTGGAGGGGTTCGATTTCTCGCGCCCATCCGCGCTCATCGCCTGGAGCCCCCCCTTCCTCGATGGCCAAGAGAGGATGGCAACTTCACGGGTCCACGTCGTTTCCCCCGCTCACCCCTCCGTGGAAGGGGAAAGATAATCAGAGGGTCAGAGGGAGGGAGGAGACAGACACTGCATCTGTATCGTGATTTGATTCCTATTGCTCGTCTCATCGCTCCTCTGCGTAGCAACATCCAGGAAGCTGACCCGCGTTCAACATCCCAGCGCGCAAGGTTCGAGGCTGCTCACGAAAGACTGGCCCCGCGTCTGCCGAAGACCCTGTCGGAAAGCAAGCCCAGGTTCTAGTGGGCAAGCGATCAGAGTTTTAGCTGCACTGACCTCTGAAAGGGGGGTCGGGGGATTCCTGATGTTCTGGCTCCTTGCGCCAGTCGTCATCACGGTTGCCCTCATGTGGCTGGAGAAGTTTCTGGTGGGCGGCAAGTTTGAGGAGCAGGACAAAAGCATGCAGGCTGCAGCAGGAGGGGGGCGCGGAGGAGGAGGGAGCAACGGGCAGTTTGCAGGAAGGCGGAGGGCAGGAGGAGAAGAAGGATGAGGAGGAGATGGTAGGGACCGGTGGAGGGAGGAGGAGGATAAGGAGGAGGAGGAGGATGGGGAGGAATAACAATAATAATTATGACTAATGATGAGAATAGTAATGCTCGTACGAAGGTTAATAACAGTAATACTACGACTACTCATGACAAAAGCACTAGAACTAATACTACTAGTTGTAATAGTAGGAATAATGAGACACGTAAGAATACCATTACTTATATGAATACTAATACTAGTATTGCTTATGATGATAATAGTAATAATAATGATCATACGCATGCTAGCCTAGCCATAGCAATAATACTCCGTCGGGCCGAAAAGTTTAGGCCCATTTGATTTTCCTGGTGAAGTTCCCTTGCGCCGGCGCGGAAGCATTTTCCATGCGTCAAAAAAATGGCGGAATAATCAATCCCCTGGTATTAACAGTAACTTCTCATCAGTATCATCGGAAGAAATTGTTTCTTCTGCCGCGGCTGCGCCACCGCGGCGCTTTGTTGCGTTGGTGTAGGAGTCTACGGGGGAAGAGGGGGCATCGCAAGTTTTGCGACGCTTTCGCCTTCATTCGCCATGGCAAGACAAATTGGCCTGACTATTGTCGCGGCGGTGTAATATTAGTTCTACTAGTAAGACTGACCACAATAATAATATTCAGAAGAAGGCGGAGAGGAGGAGGAAGAAGAGGGGGATGAGAAGGTGGATGATATAGGAGGAGAAGGATGACGACGATGATGTGGGCAGAGAAGGAAAAGAAAGAGAAGGGACATGAGGAGGAGGAGGAGCAGGAAGAGGAAGAGGACGGAACGATAAGTATAAGCAGAAGGAGGAGGATCGGATCGGATAGGAAGTCCGTGCAAGGGCCCCGCCAGGGAGTCACAGCCGGGGTCGTGCAACAGCATTCGAGCAGCTGCAGGCCACATGCCCGCCAAAGGCGGGCAACACGGACCAGGTAGCACGTGCGCAGTAGCTCACCAAGCCCAAACATGTAATGCCCACCGCAGGCCGTCGGCGCAAAAAGCGGAGCCAGGACAATGCGAAAGACGAGAGCCACCAAACACCCAATCTTGAAGCCTGACTTCTCTCCGTGCGTCAAGCAGGGCGCGCCCGCTCCCTGGCCGCGCTTGCATGATGCGCTTGAAGCACAGGTCGAGCCGGCACAGCACGAGCGCAGGGGCGGGCCGCGCCGCTCGCGAGCCCTCGGCCGCTTCCACGGCCTCAGCGAGTGCGAGGCCGGCTCTGGGACCCGCCTTGGCCCCCTTGTCGCGACCGCCCCCCCCATCCCCTCTCGTCGGGCTCCTCGGACTAGCCGTGCAGGCTTCCCCCCCTTTTTCCAGTGGGACGGCGACGGCCTCGCCCTTCCGCATTAACCTCATTTACCTGACATACCTCCTCCTCCCAAGACTGAACAGGAACGCCAACTAGGGCTGGGCATGCCTGAGGGGAGGGACGCCACAGAGAGCATGCAGAACAACACATGGTGGTAGCATACCAGGAATAAGTATCAGCTCAAGTGGCAGCACTGAACCATCTGTGCAGATCCGACTGGATCAAGTCTGCTTGCTTTCTGGTAGGCTGCTACACTGAATTGGTACTGGGATAGTTGAGTGTGTCAGTGGGCGGGCGCTTAGCCTCCATCTGTCTGGCTCATCGTCGGTTGAGCGCCTTTGTCTGGTTGGCCGCAATTATGTCTAAGATGTGTAGGACATCTGCTCAGGAAACGGCGGAGGCAAAGGCGGAGGAGGAGGAGGTGGAAGTTCTGGCGCCTTCCGTGAGGCACGGGATGAGTTGATGGGCCTCTCAGGCAGACCCTACTGAAATGTGGTACGGCTCTTCCAGCTCCTGCTCTTCTGTGTGAACCTGCCTGGCCGTACTCTGGATACAAGAGTCTTTTAATTCTCACGCATGTAGGCATATTCCTATGGCTAAATCTTAGAACAACATGTGGCCCCATCTCTGGAAGGTCAGCCGCAACATGAATATCATCACAAACACTGTACGCGAAGTAGGCATCTGGGATTCGTCCTGGTCTCAGTCGCATGCTGATAGCATCGAACATGGTTTCGCCTAGCACCCTGGACATTGGCTCTGGAAACACTTTCGGTACCGTTCCTGCGCACCATAGACTTCGCCTCATCCCGGCCAAATAATGTGGTGTGTGTGTGCACACGGACCATGATTGCATTTGCCCCCACGTGGCGTACATTTTGGCACGTCATGGATCTTTTCCAGCCTGATAGCCAGGATACCTGTCGGAGTTTTGCCAGCTGACTGCCCAAACTTACACTGATCATACTCCGCGTACCTAGCACGAGGGGAGCACACAGACGCCCTGACTGGTTTGAGCATCCAAGAGGAGACTGTTCGGGGCTCCCATGGGGGGCTGCTGTGTCCTCTGCCCACCCACATCCCCCTCCTCTAGCAGCTATTGACAAGAGCTCCATGTGAGCCATGAAAAGCCTCTTAGATACTTGCACCTGTAACCTCTGCTTAGGTGTGATTGCCGCAGTCCCTGATGGGGATGACCAGGACCTAAGTGGAGGGGGGCCCCAGTCATTTCACCGTGCTGCCGTGAACGCTTCGCAGGCACCCCTTCCCCTTTCCAAGGGCAGTTACACGTCCAGCCTTGATATTGTCACTCCATATTTGGACGGTGGCTGGCTTCCTGAAGTCTCATTTAATCTCCAAGACCTTCCTTCATCGAGGAGGGTACTTATAGACAAAACCCGAAGTTCGACATTCGGAATCATAGTTCCAAGTCGAAGCTCTACAGCACATCGAATATCTCCTGTCCTGGCCTTGTCCGCACAAGAGTTAGCAACACACATACACCGGCGATGCAGCTTCCGTGGTATACTGAAGGCTAGCGTGCTACGGGATTCATCGATGGTGATGATGGTGATGCTGATGATGAAGATGAAGATGTAGGTAACGATGACGATGATGATGTTGATGATGAGGATGATGTTGATGGTGATGACGATGATGTTGATGGTGATGATGATGACGATGACTATGAGGATGATAATGATGCTGATGATGATGATGCTGATGATGATGATGATGATGATGATGATGATGATGATGATGATGGTGATGGTGATGATGATGATGTTGATGATAATGAGGAGGAGGAGGAGGAGGAGGCGGAGG